CAGTTGGCTATTGCTAGTATTTTTCTTTTTATTTTATCCTAGGTAAGCATAAATATTAAGAAATTGGCAATACATTACACTTACCCTTTGAGATCTTCTTTCAAAATTGTATTTATATTTAGCTTTTCTAACCAAGTATCTATCTTTCCTTAAAGACAACAAATTACCATTATTGTATAGAAAACTACAAAATACTTTAGTTTTAACTATTTTGGGATTTTCAGTATTATTTTTATTTGGTTCTCTTGTTGTAGTTTGTTTTTATCCCTTTTTATTCCCAGAAATATTTGAGGCAATTTCAGGCTGTTTTTCTCCAGGTAGGTATAATATACAGAGGAAAGCAAATCTCTGAAATATGTCCCACACAGGTTTTTTTTTTTTTAACGAGACCTTTGCTTTCTAAGCAATAGTTAGTAAGCTTTAACACCCTGGGCGACTGTGCTACACAGATTTCCATTGTAACCTAAAGAAATTTTTAGAAAGAGTGACTCCTTCTTTATATAATCTTGTTTATAGGTATGTATTTTTCAAAAATATCAACACAAATTTATCATCTTGTATGCTATTTGAAGACAGCTCTGTTCTTACTGTTCACTGTCCTTTCAGTGTCTAGGATAGTTCTTGGTCCATTTAATAGATAAGCATTTGTGGAGTTGAAATGAATAAAAGGGGTCAACCCCAAATATTCTGAGATTGTTGTGATTTCAAATAGCATTGAAGTAGAGAGAGTAATGGTGAGAGCTTTAGTTCTGCTCTCTGTTGCTAAATGTCAAATTCCTCAATGAAGTAATCTTACTCTAACTCTTAGAACAGTGCTTCAGCCCATGTAGAAAATTCCAGGTAGATTAACTTTCAGTGATTTGGGCTCTTTTATACTATATACATTTTTTTTCCCTTAATAGGAAGCTATTTTTTTCCTGAGCACTTATGGTTAGATTTTTTTATAAGGTATTTCTTTAGGGATTTTTTCTAAAATATCTAAGAGAGTTGATAGTAGAAAAATACTATATTTTATGATAAATTTATATATACTTATCTTACCTATTTTATATTACCTAATGTCTCACTCACTTAGATTGTTCATGGGGATATTGTAAAATAAGGTGTTGTAAGACAACATGTTTTGAAATTGCAGCATTGTAAATATTATTTCTACTTCTTCCTATGGTACTTTTACTTTAAACCTTTCAGGCATTCGGCAAGTATAAAATGAGCCCTGGTGATGAATGAGAAATTCGAGGCATCAACTGATGAAGTCTGACTTTTCCTCTACATGTGGAAAGATATGTGTGAATGACCCAGTCTTTGCTTCTAATTTGTGCTTCTCTGTTTGACAGAGCCTCTGGGAATTTGTCTCAGCCACATCAAGATAGGTACTTAAATGAATCCAAATACTGTAAAATCTGTGTTGTGGGTTTTGAAGACTGGAATCCCCTAGTCCAGCACTCTTTAAGAGAAACAATGAAACTTGAGCCAGGTAGGTAACCTCACATTTCCTAATGGCTACATTAAACAAGTTAAAAGAAATAGGTCAGATTAATTTTAATGATACATTTTATTTAACTTGATATCCAAAATATCATTTTAATGTTTGTAAATGTGAAAAGTATCACTGAGATACTTGACATTATTTTCACTTAAAGTCTTAGAAATTGGTGTGTATTTTGCACTCACAGTACATCTCAGTTGGGACTGACCCCATTTCAAGCACTCAGACCTCACATGTGGCTCATATTACCATGTTCGACAGTGCAGCTCTGGTTATTCTGACTTTGAAGGCACCATTGTGACAGTGTGGTAAAGAGGAAAAGAGACCAAGATCAGCTTGAAGTCATACTATATGACTGTTCCTGGCTCTGACAATTAATATTGCTGTGTCTCTTAACAAATGATTTAGATTCTCTGGATCTTAAACCTCTACTCTCTAATAATGGAGGTTGTTAATAACTGCCATACTCCTGATAGGAGGCTGTAGGGAAGATCAAATAAGATACTATATGTGAAAGTGGTCTGTCAGATCATAAGGTCCCATACGCATGTAAGTCATTCTTATCCTTTTTATTGTAGATTTACTCTCATGACTCATCCAAGGCCACATTCTAAGTTTGTAGGAGAATTAAGGATAAAATCTGTAGCTTCTGACTTCCAACCATCTGCTTCAACTAAAGGCTGTTCATACCAAGTTAACTTAAAAAAAAAATCTCCCCTAACCCTTTTTATTTAAAAAATGGAGGAAGGAAGAGAGTGGCAGTAAGGAGTAAATTCCAAACTGATTAGTCAGGGTCTTCTTGGCCACTGTCATAATGTTCTGCAGTAAAATTAAAGATACAGGATATTTATATACTTATATATCAGAATGACAACCATTAAGAATTGGACTTTATTGCTGTCATATTATATAAAAACCCACATTCTTCAAAGTTTCAAACAACTTCTAAACTGAACTGTGGTTTCCCTACTCTATTTATTTCTAAAATATAGTACACCACAAGAAAGCCCTTCCTTAGTGGACTTGATTAATAAAACATATACGGATCAATACAGCAGGTTTTCCATGGATATTTTTGGTTACAAATGTAGCTCATTAATTCCCATGTGTGAGACACCACCTTCCTAATGTGAATGCAAGAGACACATTAATCTCTGAACAGAAAATGAGAATGATTCAGTTCAATCCTCATTATTTAGTATTTAGTGTGTGTAAGGCACCTTAGGCATTTTAACAAGCAAAGGAGTTTGTTTCTTTGCTAATTGTCATTTTGAAATATGTTGTTTATCTGATGAAAATATGGAATCTGCCTACCAACATATCTATGATATATGATTCAGTAATCTATATTTTCACAGAGTAAAAAGATGGTCAGAAGGAAAATTTTAGATTACTCAAAAATAGTTTCAAAAGTTATATTCTTTACTTTGGGAAGGCACATAGAGGATTATCACAATATTTCTATTTTTTTATCACAATATTTCCTTTTTTTTTAAAGTGAATTTCTTTGTAGAACTTCAGAACCACACAAAACATTTATGGTTTATACTATGTAAAATTAAGGGTAAACCAAGTTCATTTGCATCGAGAAGACATGTTATCAAAAAGTTCTTTACTCTTTTGCAATCAAAAATTCTTGTAAAAAATGACTTTCAGCTGATTATTACTAGAGAAGTATCAGATATGAGCTTTGGACCTGCCTGAAATGGTGACCATGTTGAATAAATGTGACTTTTATTTTCATTTGCTGTATCATTGCTGTTGACCACTGAATGAAACAGTTTATTGAGTAACGTTTACATTTTATTACTTTTGCACCCTAGTTAAAAACAAGCTTAATTTTTCAAAAGTCCAATAAAATGTATTTTTTATTTAATTTTTATTTTTATATTCCCCGTACAATTACAACCCCCTTTAAAATGTATTTTTGATATTTCCCCCATGAATTTGTAGGCAATTTCTCTCCTCTACCTTTTAATATCTGCCTTATGCATTTTTATGATTTATTTTAACATTATTATTGTAATTTTTTACTGGGTGAACCCATCAATGCCCTTGGCAGCAAGATTTTGTTACAAGAAATCCAGAAGCTGAGCCTGTTGTTCATTGCAACAATTATAAATTTTCTCTGGATTGAGTTCAGAGCCTTACTCTGACATTATAAATGTAACCCAAGTCATGCCTCTTTTATCACTTTTTCCAAAATAATTGATCAATTTGAGTCCTATAACCTATTGTTTAAATGAACATATATTTTTTTATTAAGCAGTTTTGTATTATAAATTTTTTTTTTGATTAACATCTGGCCTTAGGGGAGTCTGGTCAAAATAATTAGTGGTGGTACTGATAGTAAAAATGTGATACCTTAAGAAAATCATTAATGTATTTGCATTTCTCAGGGAACTCTAAATGGATTCATTCTAGATAGGATGTAGTCACATGGCATTAACTATAGGACTATATGCTGTGCTATTCTTTTTGCTCAAATGTATCCCTAGCAAAAACCCCAAAAATCTGAGGAATCTTAACTATTTACTCTTTTAATTACTAAATAAAATTAAATAGACCATATGAGGCCATTGTACCATTATATGTTAGGAAATATTGAATTGTGTGTCCAAAAGTCACACTTAAGACCAGGCAATGGTAATAGCATAGGATGGCTGTGGATACTATGAGATAATGTCTGCTTGTCAGAAATGGATGTTTTTTTTCCTTCCCATCAGAGTTCAAAAGTTAATGATGTACTTTGTATTTTAATTTTGTTTCTACTGAGAGATCAACTGAGGAATAATTTTGGCGCAGTTATTATTTTCCACTGTGGATATATTCAATATCATATGTGAATAAAACCATAGTTGTTATATCATGCTCTGCTTCATACCAGATTGTCTTTAGGAACATTTAGTACATGTCACATCAGTCATCTGAAAGGAATCATTTCTTCATTACAACTTATAACTTAAAACTATAAAATATCAGCCAGAAAAAATTGGCCCAATTAAGAGAAATTTGATAATAGTAGAAAAGCACATGTAGACATGACTGGGAGATGATAAGATTATTTTAATTTTCCCATTTGCACTGGAGTTATTTATTTTAAAAATCTCCAGATCTTTTATTACTTAAAACCTTCTGCTGAATCATGAAAAGAAGCTTAAGTTAGCAATTTTCCTCTGCAAAATCTTAGCTGCTAGCATCTGGTGAACACTTGGATACCTAGTCAGGTCCTATGGAAATGATTATTTTAAAACTCTGTTCAACATGCCTGGACTTAAAAATCAGCTAGAATCACACTCTGCACATGTATTTTAGTATGGGGGATTTAAAACCTGGCATTAGTAGCGATGGTCTCAAGGCTTTTGCAGCAGTGGAGATGGGGATGGAAGATAGGAACTCTAGGCAGGCCAGATACCCAACCATCTGCCAACTGCCCCTGTTGACAGCTACTTCTGACCTATGCCTGCCATGGCTTGCCACTGCACCCCTCCTTCACGCTTCTCACACTTACATTTAGACTTGGCCGGCTTTCAGGATCAGGACACAGGGCCTTGCTTGTGCCCTCTGTGGCTTGCCTGCAACTGGTTTCTGTCTCTTCACCAGTTGTTACTCTACTTCCAGAACAGCTTCTGAAGTAGGAGAAAAAAAGACTCCTTTTACTCATTTGGAAAAACAACAAGAAACTGAATTATTATCAAAGTGTATCATTTTGGGATCCTAGGAGAAAGGATACAATGGGAGTCTATAAATACACATGTCAATAAAAAATGCTATTATTTACCAAAATTTCAGTGTACCTTTAGGAGACATTACAGATCCATATATGCTGAGTATGAGAGAGAATATTTTTGTCTTTCTATATGCAAGTGTGCAATTACTTGTTTTTATACACATGCTATATGTGTGTATAGTGTTTTTTAATCCAAATAAACAAAGTATTGCACATCTTTATTACATGTTATGGTTATATTATGTGCTAGGTTCTTTTTAATTTAGCACCCACTAATATAAATTTAAGATAATTTAAAATGGAATTGGGCATCTGCTATAGAGGAAGCAAATTAAAGTAGAATCTCAGGGAGAAAACTAAGGTTATTTAAGAAGAGCAAACTATCGCAAAACATTTCTCATCTAATTTGTGTACAGCCATAATTGAGTTAGAAATTATTCTGAGTTATATATCAAATCGGGTCTAGTAGGACTTTAATTTGGTAATTTCCATTTTAGCTTTTGATGCAATTTAATTAGTTGAATATACTTCATAAATCATCTAGAATTTGTACTTTAAACAAATCATGTGGGACTTCTCCCTCCACCCTTCAACTGAATTTCAGAAATATAACTCTGTGTTTTGGATAACAGGTATTCCTTACTTTGTTTTGGTGTATTTCACAGGATCTTATCTAGGAAATAATATCTATATTTGTTATTCAAAAAGATTTAAACAGGAACATCAACCATGTAGATAAATAACAAGATTTTAAAACCCAGGTTGGTTGATGAGGAAAGAAGTGCAGAATTGGGTTTCCAGCTTTGAATTTCTACAATGTCATATACATGATATATTCTAGAGTACTGGCATTCAATAAAACTTTCCGTGATACCAGGAATGTCCTATATTTGCATGCTTGAAAACAGTAGTCACAGATACATAGGGCTATTGAGCACTTGATATGTGGCTAATACTATTGAGAAACTGAATTTTCAGTTTTATTTTATTTTAATTAATGAATTTGAATTTAAATATCTATTTGTGGCTATTACTGTCTCATTGGAGAGTATAGTTCTAGAGTTTATCTGTATTTGGTATTTGATACTGAATGCAAAAGTACATGAATGTCTTCCAGCTGCTGAAAGTCTATAAATTTCTAGTGTTTCCAAATCACAAGACCTAGGTTCTGACACATGGCCTTCCCTATGAAGCCATTTTTTTAAAAAGATTTATTTATTTATTTATTTATTTATTTATTTATTTATTTAAGATTTATTTATTTATTTATACAAGCACTGGGTACAATCAGAAGCGCTAGAGGGTGAGAGAATTCACCAGAGCCAGAGTGGGAAGCAGAGCAGGCAGAAGGACCGAGGTACACTGCTGAAGGGAGCAGCAGGCGGCAGGAGAGGTCTGAGCTCCATGTGGGACCCTCCTCCGGTGGCAGGGCAGAGGCTGCGGGCAGCTTCACAACCCAACGCTCAACCGCTGCGCCATGTTATTTATAAAAGCACTGGGCACAGTCAGAAACGCGGGAGGGTGAGAGAATTCACCAGAGCCAGAGCCGGGAGCAGAATAGGCAGACTGACGACATATACTGCTGAGGGGAGCAGCGTGCATGGCAGGAGAGGTCTGTGCACCATGTGGGACCCTCACCAGTGGCCGGGGATCGAACTGGTGCTGCAGAGGCTGCGGGCACCTTCGCAGCCCAGCGCTCAACCACTGCGCCACCAGGGGAGGCCCCTTTATGAAGCCATTTCAATATGTGCTAGGGCCTTGTGAGTGGGTGTAGCAACATTCTTAACTTTGACTCAACTTGTGGATATTCAAACACAAGTTTGGGTTGGCCTTTGGTGATTTGCGAATACCTAGTCTCTGGAAAGTCATGAGTTCTCAAATTATCTTTAATAATAAAGTTCAGGGCCTCCCCTGGTGGCGCAGCGGTGGAGCGCTGGGCTGGGAAGCTGCCCGCGCCTCTGCAGCGCCGGTTTGATCCCCGGCCACCAACGAGGGTCCCACATGGTGTGCAGACCTCTCCTGCTGTGCCCGCTGCTCCAGTCGGCAGTGTATTTCTTCATCAGTCTGCCTGTTCTATTCCCCACTCTGGCTCTGGTGAATCCTCTCACCCTCCCGCGCTTCTGACTGTACCCAGTGCTTGCATAAATAAATAAATAAATTTAAAAAAATTAAAACAAAAAAAAGAATGTTACATAAAGTGAAATGGGCGTGTATGGCCCAATAATACAAAATAAAAAAAAAATAATAAAGTTCAGTGATGGTAAGTGGACTCAAGGGCTTGACTTCTCTAGCCCATTGCTTGGGTTGTATGACTGACTGGCAGGTAACAGACACTGATAAGGAAGGAGTTTCTCCACAAACATAGTGCCTCTTTGAAAAAGAGCTTCTCCAGATTCAAACTGAATAATAGGGGCAGCCTGATAAAATGCCTTTGTGCCTTTCCCAAAAACAGTAAATATGCACAGACACTACTATGTGCAAGGCACAGTGCTTAGTGTTGAAGATAAAATATTGAAAAAAAAAAAAAGGATGATACACATCCTGCTTTCATGGTGCTTAACTGCATTAAATAATGTGATTCTTGCCCAAAGTCTTCTACTGAAATTATTTTTGACTAAATATGAAAAAGGAGAAAGATACATAGGATAAACAGAAAATTTCAAGATCACTGTGAAGTGTGTCACATAACTTATTCAATTTACTTCTCTGCACAGCTTTCACAATTCCACACCCAGATAGATGACAAAACCAGTTTTCAAAATACAATATTGGAAGCAGAGAAAATAACAGATCTCAGTTGCCATTTTTTTAGAATGTGAGATGAACATCATCGTTTATCATTTGTTTGCAGCATGTGTTTAAAGTTCTTTCCTCTCTATGAAGCAAAAGAATGCCCTTTATTATAATTAGTAATTAAGAGAATTTTTGTTGCTTTTATGTGATGATACTTTTTCTTAGCTTTGTCATTCAGAATACTGTAAAAAGTGCTACAATAACCAGTTATGAAATTAGTCAAATTATTCAATATTCAAGCATATCTGCAAGATCTGAAAGGAACTATTAACCACGCAAATCATTTGTAATTCATTGTATTTCACTTTATTTTGGAAGAATGAGCCAGAAATGTAGTAAAGCACTAAGCAAGAACTGTTTAATCATATTTCTTTTTTTTTCCTTCCACGCAGCAACTGCATAATTAAATATATGGTTCAACCTGAAATTTTAGATGAATTTACAAATATGTCACTGATGAAAATTTAAGGATTAAAAGTATTAAGAATTAAGTTAAATGAATGTAACCACAACACATAGTACTTAAAGTATCTGAAGACCATAAAGTGATTTCTCCAAATACATTAATTAATAATGTCCTTGATTTTATACATAGACACTTTGAAGATAACTTAATGAATTTTAAGGCAATGGAAATTTACATAATTAAAATATTTGCATATAAAACTTTATGAACAAAATTAACTTAAAAGTTGAAGGGAGTTTGCTTTAGTCTTTAAAAAATTTTTATACCCTATGCAGGTTTAAAACATGGCCACGAATTTTTTGACCCGCTTTTGTCTTCTCTCTTACTGGATCTTGGAGGGCTCATGACTGCTTTGACTAATAGAGCATAGTAGAACAGACACCGTGACATTTGAGGCTGGGTCATAAAAGGCCAACAAGCTGCTGCCTAGTTTCCGGAACATGGTCTTTGGGGTCCTCAGCTTCCAAGTAAGAAGTATGACCACCCAGAGGCCATCCTGCTGGAGCAGCCACATGTAGGGCTCCAGTTAGCAGTGTCAGTGGAACTCAGTCTTTTTTCAGTCTCTGCCAGGACACTGAACATGTGAATAAAGTCAGGAGAGCCCTTCTACTATTGTTGCACTCTCCATATAGCAGATGGAGTGCATTTTGAAAAAGTGAATCAGATCATGCCATTGTCCTGCTTAACACCTCCATGTCTCATACTCAGTAGTTCTCCAGAATGTTTAGAACAGACCTAAACATCTTTTCTGTCTTCTATGCCTTGTACTTTGCCTACTGCCCATTTTTGCTCCCACAGCCCCTAGTGTTTTTCTTCTCTAGTTACACTGACCTTCTCTTAGGAAAACATTGAACTGGTTCCCATTTTCCAGAACTTTGCTTTCTCATGCAGGGAATGGTCTTCCCTGAAACATTGTATGACTGGGCCCTTCACCATTAAAATCTCAACTTGATTAATACTTCCTCAGAGAGTGTTTTCTTGACCATCCAAAATCTACCCTTCATTTTCAGGTATATAGTTCTCTTAACTCCATAGTAGCAATTATATCTTCCTTACTTATATACTTTTATTCATTTGTAGTCTGACTCAACATAAATCCTTCCTCTCTCCCCAACCCCTCCTTGGTAGCAGGTTCTTGTTTGTTTTGTTTATTGTAATATCCTTTGCAACCAGAACTAGTCCTGACACATGGTAGGTGTTTCATAAATATTTGCTGGATGTTTTGCAAATACTTTTTTGTTTTTCTGAAACATAGAACTTAACAGTGCAAGAGAAACAGCTTTGGACATCATTTTAAAAAACCAGAAATTGCAAATTTTATGGACATTTTAAAAAGCTTTGATGGTCCTGATTGATTATAGTTGAGTACATTGCTTCAATTTTGAAAAAAAGAAAACCACAAACAAAAATCATGATGGCATAAAATTATTTCAGGAATGTGATGAGAGTTCCCCTGTCAAATCAGATATTTTTAAAATGTGACCACCACTCAACAGGCTCCTCACTTTGAAATGAAAAAATGCGCACCTCCCACCAATATTTTAATTGCTGCTAAACATGATTTACATGGATGAAGAACAAGTCTTAGCAAAAGACCTTTCTTCCTCACAGACAGAGTTGAAAAACAGGGTTTCATCTTT